AGTAACGTCAAAGAACAAGAAGATACTGCTGGTTGGAATCGAATGTGGCCTCAGCACGTTGACTCTCACGTTCAACAATCCCCATCCCCGTCCGCGTCCACCCCTACCCCTACCGCTACAGGTAAAATACAACCAACAAGCAGCCACAAACTCGACAGGTGAATTACTATCATCCCACAGCGCAGTGCCGCAAGGCACCCATACGCATCATCGATGATGTCATCCCACACGGGCGCACCGACTGAGCGAAGCTGTTTCAGCACAAGGGCATTGCACGACGCGGTGTCCTTTCCCGTGACCACCTGCGTGTCGGACCTGATTGTTCATGTGAAGTAGCTCCAACCACCAACACAGACAACTGACAGCACACACATGCAGGGTCCAGCAATCCAAAAATCAATCGAGATTACTGTTGTTTTGATTTATGCGTCAACACGAACCGACTAGGGTCATGACAAGCACCGGTGGCACTCGAAAGCCCCACGTGCATTGAATGCCTTCACTGCTTCGTGATCCTTCACCCAGGCCAGGTCTACATCAAGCACATGCAGCTTCTCGCGACGCCAAATTGACGAGTTGGTCGCGTCGCAGCGCAACGAAACAATTGTCAGCGCCCAGGGCGTGTTGTCAACAGACTTCGCTCTTGAACACTGGGATCTCATGCGTGCAAGAATAGCTGCACCTGTTCGGACCTCGCATCTGCAGACTCGCTGATGTGAAATGGCCTGAAGGACGGTGGCACCAAAGTCTGCAGCAGCAATATTCGACAGATTCCGGCGAACGCCCACTGCGAACACGCTTTGATTGCTGATCCTGCAGCCGCTCTTCCCCACTGTAACAATTTCCAAGCTGGATTTCGACCGTGCTTCATCCAATAGACGCTGTTTTTTTGCAATGGTTTGTGCCTGTAGCTGGTTTGCTCTCTTCAGAGCTTTCATCTGCCTTGTTACCTGCTTGCACTTGGCTGCTTCTTTCGACAAAGCCTGTGATGCTCTACCTGCAACCATGACACACATGCCCTGCGGCATCCCAGCATAGTCGTTCGACGACAGTTCTTGCAATTTGGCAGTGGTCCAACGTCTGATGTTGCTGAGGTTGAAGTTGCAATTCTCGTCATTTATCTTGACCAATATGCCTCCCTGCGACGATTGGCCTGATTGGCTGTCATTCTGTGAGTCGTCGGACCACAATGACGATGGACGACGCAATACTGGGACTGGGACTGGCACTGGCACTGCAGACGCATCAAGGTCGATAGCAACAAGCGGTTGCCGCTGTTGTGACGATGATCCTGGACCTAAGCGGCCTGACGCATCGTCATTTTCGTCGTCCAGCACTTCCGCTACGTGACCCTTGCCCAATGATGTCTCCACTTCCTCCAGAAATGGTAACTTCAGCAATGACAACACCAGCTGAGCATCGCAGTGACGAATGAAACCGCTCGATTCATTGGGGATCTTGTCAGAGACCTAAGTCACCCGGACCACTCATCGACCCCATCAACATTGAAAGGCTCAGCAACATCTTATGTCTTATAACTACCAAGATTATGCAGCATGGCAGCGTGCTCCCAACAGCTGACAACCAACAACACCAACATGGCCCAACACGAGCAGCAGCAACATGTGACTATGTACAATCACTCACTACTCACTACTGTTCAACAACGTGCAGTGATAGCTGCTCAAAGGCTCAAGGAAGGCACC